CCAATATTCAAATCATTTTTGTCCAAGAGGGATGTGGTTACTATCATGTGTAACATGGTCTGGTTGTTCCTACACAGTAAGGAGACATAAGCAGGGGGAGCGGGAGAGGGAGAGGCAGACTCCCCGCTGAGCAGGGAACGCAACGCGGGGCTCGATCCCAGGACCCTGGGATCATGACCTGAGCCGAAGGCAGACACCCAACCAATTGAGCCACCCAGGTGCCCCAGAAACCAGTTTCTTGTCTTCTAAAATTTGGTGTTGCAGCAGGAAGCTCTGAAGCCAATGAGACTCATTTTTCATTCCTTTGGAAGTAACTGTCTCTTCCTTCCAGCTCTGGAGCTTGCAGTATTTTTCTTACAGTATCTTTCTTATAGGCATCACTATTGCTGACCAGTATTTGGTTCCCCTTTACCTCTGCATAAATGGAAGGCTCCTGTTTCTCAGCTCCTTGGCGACCTGCCGGGCTAGTGCAATGTGTGGGAGTGACGTGTCTCGCTTCCCACAGAGCCATTGAGGAGCAAGAGCTCCACTTTCCAGCACTCACTTCCCTGTGGTGACGGCCAGAGAAGCACGTGTTGATGTGCACATCCATGAAGTCAATGTCCCTCAGATGCTGAACCCGCCTACAGCAGACTCCCGCCCTGGACAGTCGTCTGGGCACAGGGGCTTCACAGGAGCAAGAAAAGACATTATTTGTGTGAACACACTGAGCTGTGGTTACGACTGTAGCAGAACCTGGCCCATGTTCTAAGATAGTTTGTACCTTTTTCAGTGACTATTAATGGAAAATCACATTTGTCATCCAGCGCTTAAATTCTTTTTCCCACTCAGCCTACATTTGTTGCTTGTGTTCTCATGCTTCTGGCCTTTCCTTCAGAGACACCATCACACACTGGCTGCTTCTCTGTTCTTTGTCATCTTCCATCTCTCAAGTCAGCAAGCTTTTCTTGTCAAGGGCCACATAGTAAATATCCTGTGCTCATGGGCCAGAGGATCTCTGTCGCTGTTCCTCAGCTGCCTTCGGAGCATGACAGATTCTCCAGGTAACACATAAATGAAGGAGCACGTCTGCATTTACTTTACTTACAAATTCAGGTGGTGAGTTCAGTTTCGTTCAAGGGCTCTAGTTTGCCAACCCTTGCCCTAAAAGGAGAGAGCAAACAAAGAGTTAGATGTGGGGTCGAGAAAGAGAGCACTTTCAACACTGGATATGGCCAGGGGCATTCCCAAGGGCATTCCCAAGGAGAAGGCCAAGGGATATGTCAGGGAGGCAACTTTGCTGAAGGCCTAGGGGGAAGCTAGTCCAGACTGGGGCCAGAGGACATTAGACCACCTGGGGATGGACCAGAGGAACAAAGCCAGCTGATGAACTGATATATTCAAATATACTAAGGTGAAATTTACATTTGGGAATAGAGTTTAGGGATGAATTGATGATGGTGGCTAGAATATAAACTTTAAAATTAAGGCAATTAGTAACTTCATGGAAAATAAAAAGCTGTACCACAGAGGAAATGTGATCATTATGAACTATATGACTGGGTTATGAAAAAGACATATACATGGTCAGGAAGAACAAAATCTAAAAATTAATTTTATCAGTAACTCTATTTGACTATTTGGAGAATAAAGGTGGAGGAAGGGACAAGCAGGGGCACGATGGGAGAGAGAGAAAACGTCATCTTCCATAGGGCACATTTCATGGATAATACATACCCCTGTCTAGTAGAGAAATATCGGTATAATAGTAAATATAAAAACTACTTAAAAGAAACTCCCTGGAGGGTGTCCCTGGGTGGCTCAGTCAGTTGAGCATCCCACTCTTGGTTTCTGCTCAGGTCATGATCTCACGGGGAGTGGGATCAAGCCCTGCAGCCAGCTTTGCTCTCAGTGGGGAGTCTGCTTGAGACTCTCTCCCTCTGCCTCTCCCCCTGCTCGTGCACATACTCACCTCTCTCTCTCAAATAAATAAATCAATCTTTAAAAAAAACAGTGACTCCCTAGCAAGAAAGGGAGCTGGGGTGTAGAGTGTTGGGGCATAGAACTACTGCATTTTTATTAACATGAGTTTATAACCTACAATTTTGGGAGCTACAAGTTCTGAAGACACGTATATGCATGATTTTGATGAAATTTTAAAACGAAATAATACTGCAACAGCCACTGTACCCTTTTTCAATTCCTAGATTTAGAACTGCTGAGTCAAAGGTGATTTCTTTTTTAAAGTAGATTTGGGTTAATCTGACTACGCTGTCTTTCAGAAAGGTGGTATCAATATGTTTACCCAGCAGAATATGCAATTGTCTTTTCCCTAAAAGTCCCCCAACCCTGGTTATCATCATTTCTCTTAACTCTTGTCAATCTGATGAGAAGAGTGGTTTTGCATTTATTTTAATAATATCCCCTTTGGATTTGTTTCCCTTAACATTGTTCATTTGTATTTCTTCTGTAGAAAAGTACTTGTTCATAACTTCACTCCCTTTTCCTATTGAAATACTCATTTTCTCTTATTATTTAAAAGACTCGTTTTTCATATGAAATCAAATAACCCTTTATCTGCCAAATAGGAAGGAAACCTTAAGTCACAGCTGTGATTTGCTATTAAATGTTGTTTGTCATATCTTTTTATCATGTCCAAGTATTAATCTGTATGTAGAATGACTGAGCATTTTTCCCTATATAATTTCTGGCACTGGGGACATGATTAGAAAGTTCTGCTCTAAATGACATAACTTGTATTTTTATTTCCTTTTAGAAGTTTGCTGTACTGCTATTCCATGTCTACATATATAATTAAAAGTCAAGACATATGATATTGTGGATGTTGATTCTTGATGACAGATATTCACTGAAGAGATACCATGTAATGGGCACTTCTGTAAATGTTTGCAAGGGTTTACTTATTTATTCCCAGAATAATCATATTAGTGATCCATCATTATATATTAAAGGAGGAAACTCAGACTTTTTTTTTAAAGATTTTATTTATTTATTTGACAGAGAGATAGAGAGCACAAATAGGCAGAGGGAGAAGCAGGCTCTCCGCTGAGCAGGGAGCCCGGCGCAGGGCTTGGTTCCAGGACCCTGGGATCATGACCTGAGCCGAAGGCAGACACTTAACCAACTGAGCCACCCAGGTGCCCCAGAAAACTCAGACTTTTAGAGGTATAGGAGTTTGCTCAAAAACTTCCTGTCCCCTGGGCACCACAGACCCAGGCTGATAGGCAGAGAACAAGTCAGAGCCAACCCCAAGCTGGGGGGACATAGAGATAGTGGACTGTGGGCAAAGAGTGATCTTGGGGAGCTGCAGGGAGGAGGCATCCCTTCCCGGTGGTCAGCAGCAACCAAAGGGGAAATCGCTGTGGGAAATAGTTGCTGCACACCCTCATGCAAGGGACACACACCTACACCAGCCAGGACCAGAACCCCCCCCCCAGAAGGGTGCCCCCCACCCCCGCATTTTGTCTGTAATTAGGTTCGGAGGGGAAACACGGAGCCCAGCCCAAGGCCAGGAAACAAACTGCCGGGAGCTCGCCTCTTGCAAGTGCGTGTGGTTTGGTTTCCTGCCCTGTCTGTGGGCCAGGCTTCAGCGAAAGACCCCGTCAGAAGTCAGGAAGCTGGTCTGGTTACATCTGCATGGCACCATGTGACTTTGAGCAGGTCACAGACAGATCTGAGCCTCAGTTCCCCCGTGTGGAGAGAGCACACACAAACACGCTGAGTAACCTAACTCGTGCAAGTGGGTATTGGGCGTTGGCCCAAACTTTCCTTCTGGCTCCCCAACTCCATCCTGCTTTTCCCCGGGAGTCTCTAGGCAAGAGAGCCCACGGCCCTCCTGTGTCCCTTCTCTTCTTGTCTGTCCCTTTGCCCTTATCCTCAGTCTCTGCTCGCTCCCACTGCAAGGAGCAGGGCTCTGCACCCAGGTGGAGTGGGGAGCAGGAGTCAGGGGGCGGCAACCAATACCCTCAATTAGTTCAAAGCCCCTCTTCAGCCATGAGCTCTGTGCAGGCCTCCCTGCAGCAGCTGCTAGACTGGCAGAGCCCCTGGTGGCCGAATGTGGAGTTACATGTTAGCACAGGGCACGGTGTCCTGACTTCTCTCTCTCTCTCTCTCTCTCTCTCTCTTTTGTTTTATAGCAAATCTCTTTGTAAATTGCATCATTTTTTAAAGTGCTAACATTCACTAGAGAAAGAGATGCCGGAGTCCTGTGTCTGTTTGTGCAGCAATTACACAACTAGCGCTCTTGTACCCACAGGGGGCAGGAGTTGAAGATTTAGAGGTGATTGGGGGGCCAGGCTCCTGTGCTCCACCCCCCGCCCCTCATTGACCCATCCCTGCCACAGCCCGGCTCTCTCTCTCCCAGCCTCATTCTCCCCTCCTTTGCCAGGGTCCTCCCTGCACTTTCTTACCGGTATTGAAATTCCACCTGCTCTCCTCTCCCCTCCAGCACCCATAAAACCTCCCAGGGTGGAAACACATCACTCACTCACCAGGCAGGACTGGGCATGAGGTTTCTGACCACTCCCAGGGCCAGTGGGATTTAGGGTTCTTGCTCAGACCTCTGAGTGCCCCTGAGCTCGTCACCCACCTTCAGCGTGGCTTTCCCTGGAGATGGGGGCAAAGCCAGGGTCCTGCAAAGAAGAGGCAGTGCACAGAGAGAAGCGGATGGGCAGCCCTTTACTTGACCACAGCTTCCTCCTGGCCATCCCAGCTCCTCCCCCAAGGGCAGGCCCTGATGGGGAAGGGGCAGCTGGGCACAGAGGAGAGGAGCAGCCTCTGTGGAGACCCGGGAGCTGCGCGCCAAGCAGGGCTGTTGCCTCCACGTCCAGCTTCGCACCTGCCCCTGGAGGTCCCTGCTTCCCTCTGCGTGCAGTCAGCCTTCCCCGGGTCTCCCACTCCCCAGGCTGGCCTTGGCCTTTCTCGTTTTGTCTATCTCGGAAGGACTGGAAGAGCTAAGCAGAGTGAGACCAGCTCCTGGTTCTCTCTCCCCAGTGTCCCCCATGTCTCCTGCCACCAGCCCACAGGGAAAGGGCCGGAGGGTCTGGAGAGGCTTGCTCCTGCTTCTGCTGTTGCTGCCACTGCTGATCCCAGGTGAGGGGGAAGGGAAGAGCACGGGGAAGAGAGGAGAGGGTGCTATGAGGACATCTGGGACAGTGAGATGTGGCGCTAGTGCTCTATGCATGGGGACGGCTGGTGGAGCTGATGCTGGTATGACCCTGACCTGCAGCCTGCTCTCCAGGCTCGTGGGCACTACCGGAGGCTCAGCATCTTCACCGAGTGGCGGGGCAGACGCTCTCTGTGACGTGCCAGTACCCCCCCAAGGGCTGGCCCTACGAGAGGAAGGGTTGGTGTAAGGAGCTGTCGGCGTTCAAGTGCACCAGGCTAGTCACCAGCTCCAGTCCCGGCAGACTGGTTCAGGCCTCTCGATTCTCAATCTGGGACAACCCTAGCGCTGGCATCTTCACTGTCACCATGACTGGTCTGAAGGAGGAAGACTCAGGACACTACTGGTGTAGAATCTACCACGCTTCCAGCAACTCTGTCTCTAAGTCCATAAGATTCTATCTGGCAGTGTCTCCAGGTAAGCCCCTTCCCGGGGGTCCCCTCGCTCCCTCCTGGTGCCTCCTTGTTTCCTAGTCCCCGCATCCAGTTCTCCTGGGAAAGCTGTTGGGAGCAAGTGCACACACACACACACACACACTTCATTTGCTGTCCGTCTTGATGATTTACAAGCCTCCTAAAAGATGCTCAAACAGATCATTTGAGCATGCTGACCAGCCTGAGCTCCTATGACCTGGCCACAGGGGAGCCCAAGACTGCTTGGCATTTTTAGAGAAGGCGCTTGTACCTGGCACATAGTAGGTGCTCAGTAAATGTCTGGCCACTGGCCACAAACCGCCCCCACCATGTTGGTAGCATGTTGGGCTGTCCATTCCTCCTGGCCCAGATCAGCAGTCAGCAAACAGGTCTGAAAACCAAGGATGGTTTTTAGATGGTTGGGATACAAGTAAAAGAAAAGTAAGATTTTGTGACACATGAGAATTCTAGGAAATTCAAATTTCAGTGTCCAGAAATAAAGGTATTTTTGGGAACACAGCCATGCCCATTTGTTTATCTATGATCTGAGGCCATTTTCATGCTACAGGAGTGAAGTTGAATAGTTCCAACAGAGACCATATGGTCCACAAGGCTAAAAGTTCAGTTATAAAAAAGGACCACGTTGTTCATTGCATGTATGCATGTAGGTGATGGATGTAGTTGCTGAACATTCTAGCGGTAACGTTGTTGTGCCTCAGTCATAACTGAGCAAAAACTTAGAAGTGAAATAGCAATTTTCCATATTAAATGTCATCCACACTTTGAACAAACACCCTGTATATCCACATTGAAGGATTTTAATGTGACAAAAGAGCATTATTTTTGCTTGTTAACTTACCTAATCTGAATGACACTAGGACACCATAACTCTTCAGAGAAAACACATTCAAAATTGTTTAAATGCTTGGTTTTAATACACTTATAATAGAAAACCGGTCTCACAGAGTTATGTTGACAGAAATCCAGGAATTTTAAATCAATTTCCACAAGCTTAATATTTTTATTTTTAATTTTTACAAAAGGGAGCGAGTGATGTTATATTTTCAAAATGCATCCTCAATCCTTCATCAGTAGCTAATTCCAAAATTTATCTTACAAAGTTATGTTTATATTTAAAATGTCTTTTGATGAAAAAATGGATTCTGGATCTATGAACTTCATATCACATGTCTTCTTTGAGCAGAAAATAAAATTGAAAACATTGTATCAAATTATTAAGGTTTTTCCATGAGTACTTTTGCAGATATGCAATATCAAAATCATCTCCTGTTCTGTTGATAACTGCTACCAAATTAAGAACATGCTGTAAGAACTCATAGAAACTTCTTCTAAGCCTCCAACTTTTGTTTTTGCCCTGAGATTTTGTTTGCCACTGAAAAATATGTTGTGTTCTTCCCTTGCTAGAATAACCTCAAAGCCCTAAAATAAACAAGGCTGACTGTGTGATTCACATCTTTAAAAAGTTAGTCATAACTCGATTTCAATCTTGCCAAAACATTAGAAGCCTTTTCATAGATCAAACATTCTCAACAGAACTCTCCCCCTCAGTAATCACTGTGACCTTGGCATGCAATAACAACCATGCAGGGTTTCCACATTATCACATCATAAAGAGAACGATTTCAAATTCAACTCATTCATCTTTATGTAATTCACAATTTTTACCACTTTGGGAAGCACACGGTGCAGGTCAGCTGGTACTTTTTCATAGCAAGTCTCCTTAATCTGAATGACCGCCCCAGAATGTCCTCCTGCCCAAGCATCTACAACCATCAGAACATAGTCCTACGTGAAACTGGAGCCCCAAACCCCTGGTCAATAATACAACCCTTCAGAGCTCCCTTCAGCTCAGGGTTAGTTGTGTTTCTGACAATGAAGCAAAACGAGACCGAGGAAAACCTCTCATCCTGTTCAAAATTGCACGTAAAATAAAAAATAGCTACGTTTGCAATATGTGTGCATTTTTCAAGTTGCCACGAAAAATACTTTGCTAGCTTGACTTGTTCCAGGAGCTGATCTTCCTTCTCGATTGCCAATTCCTGATGATATGGAGCTAATGTGTCAATAGAAAGGGATATTTAAGCTCCCTTCCTTGCCACGGACTAGCAAAACACAGAGGAGCAAATAACTCTCGTACAGTCTTGCGATAACGTTTGATAACTGTAGATAGATACTCTGTCTTCGCAACACAAAGCTGCTACTTTACAAGAAGCCCACAGCACACTAGAGTTTGTATGTGAAATACTGACTGCTTTTAAGAACTTTGTAATTCAATCCTCTTTTTTTTTTTAAAAAAAAAGTTTATTTTGAATTTGTGGTTTGATGTTTTCCATGTAAATGTCACTTGTTTTCATGATGTATTTGTTCATTAGCTAGTATATCTCAGCAGCTAACTCGCTGGGTTTTAGTACTTCATTCATTGTAACTACAAAATTCATACTATAGATGAGTGCCATCATTTCCCAGGGCTGTCAGCACAAATCCCCACAAAGGTAGTGGCTTAAAACCGCACAGATTTATGATTTTACAGTTCTACAGATCAGAAGTCTGGAAGGGGTCTGCAGGCTCTGCTCCTTCCTGAAGGCTGTTAGATAGAATCCACTTCTTGCTCATTCAGGTCTTGGGCAGAATTTTGTTCCTTGTAGCTATAGGACCGAAGTCCTGTTTTCTTGCAGACTATGGGCTTTTCAGCTTTCACAGCTTCTAGAGGCTGCCACATCCCTTGGCTTGTGGCCCCCTTCCTCTGTCCTCAAAGCCAGAGGCCCTTTCCCACCTGCATTTCTCTCTTACTACAACTGGGAAACACTCTGCTTTTTTTTTTTTTTAAACTTCATCCATTTATATGACAGAGAGAGAGAGCATATGCAGGGGGAGCAGCAGAGGGAGAGAGAGAAGCAGGCTCTCCGCCGAGCAGGAAGTCAGACTCGGGGCTCGATCCCAGAACCCTGGGATCACGACCCGAGCCGAAGGCAGACACTTGACCAACTGAGCCACCAACTGAGCCACTGAGGCGCTGCCACTCTCTGTTTTTAAATACTAATCTTTAGATGGGGCCCACCCGGAATATCTCTCCACCTCAAGATCTTTAACTTTAATGGCATCTGAGAAGTCCCTTTGGCCATGTAGGGTGACATTCACAGGTTCCTGGGATTAGGTAGGACATGGACATTGTTCTGCCTACCACAGTGAAGGATTACATTTTCAAATAAAACCAATGCAAACCCTTTGGAATAACTTCAGAAGGGAAAGTACCTTTAGAATTAATTCCACTATCACCGTTTGGTTTATTATTACTGAGACATTCAGAAAACAGATGGCTTTTCTAGATAAAAAGCTCAGTGACTTTGTCTTGCTGTTAAGTAGTCCTTGAATGAGCTAATCACTATTCTGTCTTACCTAATCATGTTAAACTCTAAATTTTTTTAAAAGGATAGATTGAAAATCTCAATGATTATAAGAATAACAAATTATAAAAATAATTTTTTTCAGGTGTTTATACACTTTTGGGTTAGAGTCGACCAACTAATGTTCAAGTGTCATGGTCCTGCTTCTGCTGTCATGTAACTTGCCCCATATGGAGCCCTCCATGACAGGGTGTCAACACCCAAACTGGTCTATATTCTGTTCAACTGGACCAGTTTACCAATCACATGCTTGGACCCTGAGGCAATGTCAAACTGATGTAAAAGTTTCAAGATCCTTACTCCTGATTTCTATATTTACCTTGTGCAGGCAGGTCATACACAATTTGTGGACCAGGATCAGCCCATAGATCACACACTGTAGCTCAGGACTAGAATTTTCCCTGAGGGTCCTGAGGACCTCCTCCAGTTTGGACGTAGGGGTTGCTCCTGGTCATCACTCCAGGCAGCCTCAGAGAGAGTGCCCTTGTGGGATAGGATCATGTCCACATGTCCGTTGGCCTGGGACTCTCTGCAGGGAAGTCTCCAGCCATGAGGTTTCCCAGCATCAAGTACTCTCTCTTCCATGCCTCCTCGGCCCCTGCCTCTCTCTTTTCCCCAGCTTGGGGGAGACTGCTCCCCTCTTGGGCCCTGGGTGGGTGTGCAGACCTAGCTGAGGACACTGAGAGACCACAGTTCCTGTCACAAGGTTGGGGCTGACACCATCTATTTCCCTTCTGGGCCTCACCCACCCCCGATAGTCATTGTCCTCTCTGTCTCCTTCATAGCCCCATCACCTTTCCAGAGGTGACCTTCCACCAGCCTCCATCAAGAGCTCTTAGCGTTGATAGGTCTGGGGTCTTTCTGGGAAGGCAAGGCAGTGGGGATGGGGGGCAAGTAGCTCACAAAGTTTCAGAATTAAGAGGGGGCCCCAGAAAAGGTATTTATACAGGCCATTGAGGCCGTGGGGCCTGCAGAGGGGCTTAAGGTTCTGTTGCCAAACCAGGAAGGACAGGGGTGGGAAAGCAGCCTTAAAGTTCCCCATAAGGGGCCCCCTTCCCCTAATAGCCCCAGAAGTGTGAGAAAAGGAACGGATGCCAGAGATGAGAACTGCTTAAGGACAGTGACTCTGTCTACACTCAGGGAGGCTGAGAGCTAGAGATTGCCCTTCCAGACGTGTACAAATGCTTGGAGGGAAGCCCAGGCATCCTGACTCCTCTTCCAGGGCTCTTCCCAGATCCAGGAATAACCCCACAGGCACAGGATAGAGCCTGAGCCGCAGCTCTATCTAGTGTTGAGCCACAGGACTTCACAGCCCAGTTCCACTGCCATGAATTGGTTTTTTCCAGGGTTGATGGGCTGTTCCCAGTCCAGCCCAGGCCCCTGTCCCATCTTTCCCACCAGCCAGAACAGACACGCTGTCCCACCAGCTAACGAGGGTTCTTTCTCTCTCGCTGACAGCTCGTGCCTCCACACAGGCCATCCGGGCTTCAGGTGAGCTGGTCTCATCACCGACCCAGAGCTCTGTGCCCCCCACTGGAAGAGCCAGGGAGGCCCCTGGGGCTTCCTCTGCCCTCACCGCCCCTTCACAGTGAGTTCAGGGTGGGACCCTCTGGGACCCTCTGCCAGACGGCCCTGGCTCAGGGGCCCGCAGGTGAGAGCTGCCCCCCAAGACGCTCCTCTCCCCTTCTTGTCCCCTGTCCTCCAGGCAACAAAACTCCACCCTCCAGTCTCACCCTGCAGCCCCCAGCGCTCTGGTCCCCATGCTCTGTGTACTGCTTGTGGCCAAGAGCCTGGTGCTATCCGCTCTGCTTGTCCGGTGAGTGGGTTTGCTTGGGCTTGGGGGGAAACGGAGCAAGGAACGGCTCCCGTCCCCAGACCCATGGTCAGCCAGGGAATCAGCCGGCAAACACAGAGGCAAGAGAAATTATACCCAACAGGGCTGTCCAGAGGAATCCCTCACGGACTCCATCCATCGTGCATGCTCACTAGCAGCTCCCCTGTGTCTCTCGAACTCGAGTGCCTTGTCCACATTTCTCGGTCTGTTTTTCCCTCGCCTCTTCTCCTTCTCCTCTTTTCCTTCCCCTGCCCCTCTCCCACTCTGATTCATCCCTCCTCCTGTACCACTGGCCTGTATACAACCTCCCACCGCCTGCCCTTCCTGGAAGGTCTACCCACAGCCACCAACCCAGGGCACCTCACAGGGCACAGCCCCTTCCCAAGTGGTGAGGGACAGAGGCTGTGCACTGGACGGAGACCCGAGCCCTGGGGAGCGGGGAACGCAGGAGGGGGAAGGTAGGTGGGGATGGGGGAAAGGCAAAGACCAAGAGTCCCTGGTGGCAGGCCTGCTGAAGGCGGGACGGGCTGTGGGGACAGAGCAACAAGGTCCTAGAGTGGATGTGACTCACTTTCTGTATTTCTACCCCCCTCCCCACCCCGTCTCAGAGCCTTAAGGAGTCCACGCGTGCAACATAGAGGGAGGTGTCTGATGTGCCCAGCTCGGCCCAGACCCCAGGCCTCGGGGTCCAAGAAGAATGGCCATTCTCCCCCAGGCCCCCAGGGAGCTCCTGACTGGCCTCTGAACCCTTCGCTCACTGCAAAGAAAAGGCAGAAGTCCCCCAGAACTTGATCCAAGACCCTTGACTACACCCCTCACTCCAGGGCTGAGGATTTCCCAGCCCGGCCTCCTCCCAAGATCCAGGCCTGCTAGTGGCTCACAGGCAGTTGGCATCTGGGCCAGCACCATCCAGGGATGGGAGCCAAAGGCCAGTGCAGCCGCTGTCCACCAAACCCGAGCCAGCACTGTGGGCGACTCCGACTCCTCTCCCCACTGCCTCCTCCCCTAGCCCTCCTCCTCATGCCCCTGCTCCCGTCCTCCTGCTCCCCTCTCCGTCTTCCCTCTCCCCCTCCTCCTCTCCTTTCCCTCCTCCTTATACCCCTTCTTCCCTCCCCCTGCCCCTCCTGTCTGCAGCCCTACAGCTCAGCCAAGATCCCAGGTCACTAACATTTCCCTCCCCATCTCCATTTGCTCAGCCACACTCTGCCAAGACCCTCTGTTCTGCCTCTCTCTGTTGTTTCCACCTCTCCCTCCTCTTCCTCCCACTTTGCAAATCCCCACCACCGGGCACTTGTACTCGGCCAGTCTGTCAATCACCTAACTGTTGTCCTGCCTTTGGTCCCTACCTCCTGGACAGTTCCTCCTTATCCATTCTTCTCAACAACACCCCTGTGCATTTTTACTGCATGGGGGTGAGTCCAGTGTCATGACTGGGGCCTCATGCTCTGCCAAGTTCGGCCACCCCTTGTCACCATGTCACTGTGAACCCCCCATGCTGCCCTCACTGCCACCAAGATGGCTGCAGGCTCTAGAGAGGAGTGACCTTCCTTTTTCCTGCACGAGCTGAGCAGGAGGCTCCACAACAGAAACCAGCCTGGTCTGACCCCAGGCTCTGCCCCTCGTAGGGCTACTGTCTCTCTGGCACTTACTCTCTCAATGTCAGACTTTCCAGACTGAGCCTCTTTCTTTTCCCTCCTCTTCTTCATCTATTTTTCTTTATTCCTCTTTCTGGGAAAGTTCCTCAAGGTTACGTTCCAGCTCTTCTATTCGAAGATTTACTATTTATGCTACCACATCTTAACATTTCTAAATGGTCCATTTGTTCTCTGAATGTTCCTCTATAGCGTGCATGTTTTCTTTGGGGATGCCATTTTTTCTCAGGCAATATTAAAGTTTTCACTTTTGAGGGTTTTTTTTTTTTAAGCCTTGTGTATCTGCCGTTTCCTCCAAATACCTTTTTGTGTCCTCTGTTTTCTCCTTTCCTTGACCTCTGTCTTTCCTCAGAACTTTCTGGAAACCCCTGCTGCTTCTTGGCAGCCCATCAGGAGTTAAAAGCTTGGATGCTCCGTGTGTATTACAGAGCTTTATGGACTCTACATTGATTTAGCAAGGGCATTGTTATGGACTGTTATGTACCCCCTCTCCATTTATATGTTGAAATCCTAAACCCCCCCCCCCCAGATGATGGTATTTGTAGGGGGCCTTGAAGGTGGCTAGCTCATGAGGGAGGAGCCCTCATGAATGGGATTGGTGCCGTTATAAAAGAGGCCCCACAGCATTCTCTGACTCTTTCTACTGTGTGAGGACACAGCAGGTAGACAGCCCTGTATGAAGCAGGAAGGTCTCGCCAGACACGGAATCCACCGCCAACTTGGTCTTGGACTTCCCAGCCTCTGGAACTGTGAGAAATAAATGTTTTGTAAGCCACCGAGTCGATGGTATTTTTGTTACGGCAGCCCAAGTGGACTAAGACAAGCCTGGCTGCATTTTTTTTCTCTTTGACAGCTCAGTTTCTCCAAAAAGGCTCCTGGGGGTGGAAGCCTGGTTCTAGGCACCAACTGTAGCAAAGCAAAGGGGCCTCTCTGCCCAGCATCTGTTTTCACTCATTTGGGCACCAAGGGAATACACTTTCCCTCTCTGCGGTGCCTGGTGCCCTGAGCAGGCGTCTCTGTGACTCAGCCCTCGTTAGAGACTAACCTGAAGGTTGTCAGCGGGGCTTAAAGAGCGGAAGGAGAAAGGATGTGGGCAGTTGACCCACTCGCTCTGTCTCGGGGGAGGCAGAGAAGCTACTAGTCCGACTGCTTCTCAACCCCAGGCCCCCACTTGTAGTCTGCATCCTGAACTACCCACGCCTCCAATTTCTAGGGCTTTCTGGGCTCCTAAGGTAAAAATGACTCACTTCTTATTTCTCCTACCCCCACCTTTTTCTGGTTCACTAAAGTCATCTAATTGTTACCCAGTTTTAAGACGTCCATGGAGCTCCCATTCTTGAAAATGGACTTATATAATTTTTACCCATTTACCACCACTTCCCTCACACAGCTTCCACACCTCCTTAGCAGGAGCAGAAGGGACCAAGATTTTCCATCAAACCACCCCTCCCCACTCCCAACACCATGGGCAGGACTGAGCAAGACCCCAGATCTCCATTTGCTCCTGTAAAGACTCCTGGCCCCTTCTCCACCCTGCCCCCCTACAGCCAGTGCTGGACCCCTAGACTTGTGGTTTCATTCCTTTCTCCCTATTCATCCCAATCACAAGAGACCAGGGCTCCCTGGTCCTCCCTCATCACCCAGGATCGCATTGCAATAAGACCTTGTGAATTCATCAAGTGAGTCCCATTTCCCACTCTTCCCCAAATCCATCAATCTTTTCTCTCTGCCCTCTGAAACATGAGCACTCGTGGTCTCAACTTCTCTGTAGGTCACCTTCCTATGTTCACTAAAATCTGCCTCTCTTCTGAGAACACTGCTCTCTCTGTAGTTGGGGGCATTTCACTTTCCTTCACCACGAGGCCTGAGGTGGGAGGGGTGTCTTCTTCACTCCTCATTGCCACTTCCTTTCTTCTTACCCTCCCTAAAGCAGCTCCACGATTTGATTTCCTGCCATCAGACTATACCATAGACCTCATTGTTATCACATCTCCTATACAATCTGGAGTCTCCCTCTTTCTTCTCATTGGCCTTAACCCCTGGCTCACGGTCACTCCCATGGCTCTTGTCATCATCCTTGGTGAGCTGGGGCCCACTTGGACTCATAGATGATCTTTCCAAATCCCTGGCCTCCCAGTTCCTGACCTCCTCTCCCACAATGATCACATCCCTTTCCCTGCCTTGGCCACCCATTCAGATGGTCAGCAGGAATAGCAGCTCCCCTCCTTGGTCTCAACTTGGAGCACCCACCTTCCAGCCACCACCTGTCTCTCTAACTCAAGCCTACTGACCTGAACACAGTGCCTTTTCAACACCACTGGATCCCTGATCCACTAGTCCTGCCATTTTGTTCCCCTCCCTCAACTCAATCATGCTTTCCTTTCCCTTGGATTCCATGGCCCATCCTTACAATCACTCTTTGGCACACAGTTTCAGTTCCTTTTCCCCCTCTGCCTTCATTGAACTCCCCGGGCACAACTCCAGCCCTGGTTGTATCCAGCTTTCCATTGCTCCATCCTGCATCTTGTCCTAAAGCTGAACATGGCTGGAGAAAACGAACCTATCATGCGAAGTGTCTCCTTGTACATAAGTGGTCTCCATTCTAGACCTCTAGTTCACACCGCCCTCTGGCCCCTCAAACTCCAGTGTCCTCTCTTCACCCTCAGCTGGTGCCCTTGCATCTGAACTCACTGAGAACAACAAGGCCTACTGGGTCCAACTGCACCCATCAATCACCCCCCTTCTGTACCCCAAGTGCACTCTCTTCTCCCTTTTCCCATCACAGCCCAAACTCTCCACATAGGACCCATCCCATCTTCTCTTGTCCTACATAAGAGAATTGCTCCAGAAGTTTGCCCCCCTCTCATGTGTCATGACAACCAGAATATAAATGGGCTATGATGTATTAAAAACTCTCTCTTGGCCCCACAGCACCTCCACCTACTGCTCCACATTTTATTGCCCTTTATGACAAAACCCATAAAAGGAGTTTTTCTCAGCCCCCAATATCTTTCTTTTTGTTGTCTTTTGAACCCACCCCAATCAGGCCTTTGTTTGTACCACTCCCTGAAACATCTTCCCCCAGTCTCCAGTGACTAACTCCAGAGGTCAGTCCTCAAAACTCATCATATCGGAAAAATGAGCAGCATTGGATATGACTCACCACTCCTCCCTTCTTGAAATGCTTTTTTTCCCTTGGCTTACAACAATAACAACAAAATCTTGTCATGTTCCTCCCAACTCATTTGATGCTGTGTAATAAGTTACCTGAAAAGTTAGTAGCATAAAACAACAAATGACATATTTATTATCTCAAAGATAGGTCTGGAGGGGGGAGTCAGAAATTTGGGGACATCTTAACTGGTGTTCATGATTCAGAATCTCTCATGCATTGCAGTCAGGATGTCAGCAAGAAATGGGTCATCAGAAAGCTTGACAACCAGACCACTTCCAAGATGGTTTACCCACATGGTTGCCAGGACGAGGTCTCAGTTTCTCACTATGTGGACTTTACTTCATGATATGGGAGCTAACTTCCCCAGAGTGACTGATCCAAGAGAGACTGAGGAGGAAGTCACAGTGCCTTTCATAACCTAGTCTCCGAAGTCACACACACTTCATCAGAAGCTGGTCGCTGGAGCCAGCCCATACTCAAAGAGAGAGGGATGGGGCTCCATCTCTTGAAGGAAGAGATATGGAACCCCCGCAGCACCTCCTCTGGCCACAAATTATTGAGGTTTCTCCCACATTCAAAATACACTCATCCAAAATACACTCACGGGTGAAGGGAGTCAAAAGGTAAAAATGAAAGATAAAGAAATGGAGAGAAGAAAGATACACGCAATCCCCTCCAAAAGCCTCCGCAAATCTCACTTGAATATGGCATCGGCAAATTGGTCCAGAAGTTTGTCGCTTAAAGGTCCAAAAGATTGTTGCTTAAATCAGGCCCAGGTATGGATGAGGTTCCTTCAGTGCAGTTCCTTACATACAGCTCCTCATGTGCAGTTAGTTCTCATATGAAGACCTGTGGGCAGAAGAGATGAGTTATCTGCCAGATACAAAACCAACACACAATGGTGATAACGGCCTGGGATAGCACGAGAGATATCCCTGGGAAGCCAACAGAGCACTGATCCATGGAAAAACTGGAGCTCTGCTGGACAGATGTTGGAAATTCCTTGATTCGGACTCTGTCCTGCTTTACCTGGGGATGATTCATCG